TCTTTTCATATCCAGAGAAATATTCTGCCTTTTCAATATTTCCTAGGATATTTCATTTTTCTGGGAGAGGGCTGGGTGATAACTTCCTACAATAGGATTGACCCACCACCATTAGAATAGCAAAAGGCACAATGCTCACACTCACATCGCACAACCCCCTGCAGCATCTTTGCACAAGGCCCTGCAGGATTTTTCAAATCTCTATAAAAGCCCATGTCCTCATCAAACCAATTTGGATGGATGGATATTTTGGGCCGGTTAAGAAATGAAGCATGAAGCTCGAAGATTGAACCTCGGGATCCTAAAAAGAGAGAGAGAGACCATTAAAAGGAAAACCCCGGTAGGACAGATGACAGCCTCAAAACCCGGAAGACTTGTTTGCGCATGCTCTCTGCCTCTCCCCCGGCTCCTCCCCTGACGTGGCGCGCTTTGGGCCTCGCGCTCCCTCCCCGCCTCGAGGCCCCGCCCCGATCCCCGCCCTTCCTGCTTGGCTGAGGGGCGGAGACGGTGGCGCTGGGCCTTGGCGGCTGCTGCTGCTGCTCCTCTTCCTTCGCCCGCGAGCGGTTTGCGAGTCTCCTGGGCTTCTTTTTTTTTTCTTTCCTTTTTCCTTTTCTTGGGGGCTGAGCGGAGAAGAGCCAAGATGGCGGACCTGGAGGACCAGCTCTCCGATGAGGAGAAGGTAAAGAAGACCACGGGGGGAGAAGGGTCGCCTTGAGGGGAGACGGGGGGAGGAGGAGGAAGCGGCGGCGGTTTCTTCTTCCCCCTCCCGGGGGCAAGGAAGGAAGAAAAGGAAGAGAGCGGATGTGGAGCCGTCAGCCCGGCTCTGTCAGCGGGGAAAGAGGTAGCTTCCCTTCTGCCCGAGGCCTCCTTTGCTCGCCGCCCTCGCCGCTCCTTGTACGGTCCGGTGGCTGAAAATAGGCTCCGGGCTGGGGCTGAAGCGAAGCGGGCGCGGCGGATCCGGTGTCTCCACCCCGCCTTCCTCGCCTCTCCCTGGATCTGCCTTTCCCCTTTTCCTGCGGATGGAAAGGGACTCCTCCTGGTCGAGCCCCTCTCTCCTCCGTCGGCCTCTGCAGTGGGTTCCGCCGCCGCCTCTCTCTCTGGAAGGGCTCGGGGCGATTTCCTGGTGGGCGGCACAGCCCGCTTCCCTTGGTTTAAATGGTGGCCCGTGGCCTTCTTCACGTGGCACGAAGGGATTTCCCAAAGGGGGCTCGGGTGGAGGCTTGTTTTTTTATTTTGCAAAACTGATGATATTGCTTGGAAGGCACTCCCATTCTGCTTCTATTTTGGGTTTTCCAGGGGCAGTTTGTTAATCTGGTGCCGAGGGCAGTTCTGACTGGTTAAAGGAAAATTTCTTCCTGATCCCTTCTTCCTAGGAGTTTGCATGCTTTTACTCAGATCCATGCTAGAAATGCTTCACTTTAGTGTTGTAGGAAGTTATCACCCAGCCCTCTAGCCCTCTCCCAGAAAAAATGAAATATCCTAGGAAATATTGAAAAGGCAGAATACTTCTCTGGATGTGAAAAGAAAGAAACCTGTTTTAAAAGCCAGAATAGCTGCCTGTAGCTTCCTGCTCATCCCCACTTTGTCAATGGGCTGTCAAGAAGGCCAAGCTAGTCCACTTTACATAATAAAGACTTCTCCACTTCAGCTGCATGGGGATGGGATTAAAAGCATGATAACATTGGCCCCAACTCACCACATGGCATCTGAGATTCACACAGCAAAGAAAGTGGCCTGCTTGCAAAATTTGCTTTCGATCTGTCAATCTATCTGTTATTATTTACAGTGATGGCTTATATGTGAAAACCCAGTTAGTAATGAATCCTTGTTTGTTGCTAAGCATGTTTCAAACTATCTCTCTGCTCATTTTCTTGTGACACTGTTTATAACATGCAGCTGTCACATGCCTACATTACTACTTATGTGTATGTGTAAATTATTTTAAGCTAGATTTTAAGATGTATGAGGTTATTTTTCCTGGTTCTATTCATTTAATAGCTATTGAATAAGTATAAGTCAAATCATTTATGTATTCTTTTATATTTGTCCTTAAATTTGATATACTGTTATGAAAGGAAGCCATTCCCCTTCAATTAACCAAACTAATCTTAAGACCATCTTGCAAAATTTTGATTTGATCGTCCCATTATGCTAAGTGTCACTTCCTTAACCATGGTTTATAGAATCCACAATAAGTAAACTTAAACATGTAGTTTAGATTCATGCAAATTGGTAAGCCATAATATAGGAGAGTTACGTGATGTATTAATTGTGATTTGTTCAGTAAAAAATAATTGCATGAGTCCAAACTAAATATTTTAATTTTGGCAATTGTAAATTATAATTTTGGCAATTGTAAACTGTGCTTAAACAAATAACCAATTGGCCATAAGAGGATCAAATCAAAATTTTGCAAGATGATCTTTTGCTTGATTTGGTTAATTGAAAGGAAATGACTTTCTTTTATTTTTTTAATTATTAATTAATGAACAAATATAAAAGAATACGTGAATAATTGAATTGATTTATATTTATTCAATAAAAAGCTTAGTTTAACCAAAGCTTAGTTGTATATTAACGTAACTGTGATCTAGAGGTTTTGTTTCCAGAATGATAGCTGTATTAATTGATTTCAGTAGGAACCATAGTCTTGAGTTCACATTAATCTATATACTACTAAAACTTTCATTCCCATAGCCTTTAACTGGGAGAAACAGTGCATCATAGAGCAATAATTTTGAGCCAAGGTACCTCAAATAGATTAATTTACAGAATGTGTACAAAATTTGGGGCCCATAACTCTTGGAAGTGAAATTTGGCAACCTTTATAAAATATTTTATGACATAAATATATCATTAACAATTTATTCCATAATACAAAATACCATAAAATATTTTTGTGCTAATGTTTGACTTCTATCTAGTTCAACAGGGCCATTTTCAAAGTAGATATAGCTTTGAATGTATCCCAACTTTTCCAGTGAAGGCAGTAAATTAGAAGTTCTGTCACTGTTGAAGACATTGAGGAATCTAATAGGGAGATATCTCTGAAATGATCCAACAATGTCTAGTATACAACTAAAACTCTCATCTCTATAACCTTTAACTGGATGAAACACAGGGCAATAATTTTGTTCCAAGGTACCTCAGATGGACTAATTTACAGAATATCTCCAAAATCCAGGGCCTATGATTTCTGAGGAAATTAAATTGGGGGAATTGTGGATTTTTCAGCTACTGGGCTGCTGCTGTGGCCCCATGAGCCTCATTTTTAAAATTCCTGATAGTTTCTCGGCCATTCTGGCAATCTTTCGCTTCCTCCCTCACCCAATAGCAGTCACTTACCTAGGAAGGGAAGGTTGAAAATCTTATGTATTCCTACAGTCTGCGCTACCCTCCCCAACCCACATTATTCCCAAGGTGTCTTCCTCAATCCCTATACCTTTTCCCTATCCCTATACCCGTGACCTTTTGCATACTTCCATGAATCCTTGCCCACTTTGCAAGCCTTCCTGATGCAAGCTAACTCCCTATGCTCCATCCATGGCCCAAACAGTATCTCCCCATCACTCTTCGCAACTCACACTGCCTACCTATATGCCTTATCAAATATACATGACATATATTGTGCACACTCACGCACACTTCTCAACCTTCACACTTAGCTGCCTACTGGTCTTGGAATCGCAACTTCCTGTTGGCTTCCCAGTGACTCTCTCCTTGCAAGCTTCCACAAGCACAGTAAATGGAAAATAGTAGGAATTTGAGAGAGGGAAGGAAGGCTGGAGGAAAGAAGGAACAGTGCAGAAGGAATAAAGGGAGAAAGAAAGAGTGAGAAATGTGGGAGGAAGAAAGGGACAGGGTGAAGGAAGAGGGAGGGAGAGGGCAAAGGAGGAGAGGAAGGAACTTTTCTGATGCTCCTTTTCAGTATGTGTGTGTGTGTGTGTGTGTGTGTGTATATATATATATATATATAGACTCTCTCTATTTATTTATTTACACATATATATATATATATATATATATATATATATATATATA